TATTTTTAATTTATAAATTATATATGACGCGCCAGTTTCATTTAATTTAATCTATAGTTAAGCGCAACATTAAAATATCTACAGTTTTTATATGTATAAATGTTATTGTATTACTACAAAAGAATATTGTAAAAAGTTTAAGTATCTTTTTTCGGAAACTTCTTTAACCTCTTTGATCTTCTTCCGTTACCAGTACCCCTAAAACGGAATTAAAAAACAAACGCGTTCATCTGATATACACGGGTGGAAGTGAAACGTCTTAAGCAAATACGTGAGAAGAGAGAAATCAACAAAATTTATGTATAAACATTAGGCTATAGATGCAAAACGCAGAAGTCTCGTAAAACTAAATCTCAGACTTATTTCGACGATTCATGCCGTTTGCACTGCTAAAGTAAATAAGTATGACTTAACTTTTCAGTAGGTCTTAAAATGGCAGTAATTTCGATATTTTTCGTAACTTACAGTAGGATGAAAATGAGAATGAAGTTAAACATTATGCGTGTAGTGAGTGCTATATGGCAAAATGTTTTCTGATCTGGTGCTTCGACAGGGACGAACATCGGCCCGAAATAACGTTATTTTATTAAAAAAGAAAAAATCAAATGCTATGCTTGTACTCCAGAAGATATTTGCTGGATTTTCTTGCGTCTTACCAAAATATGAATAGAAAATACATCCGATTAACTTGAACGCGTAAAGGCGCCAAATAGCCCTCATATAGTCGTTAAACATTTGAGAAACATTAGTCAAATGGGGGGGGGGGCAGTTTTATTGCTTCACTCGCCACTTTTATAAATAGAGTATAGACTGTCATATTCAGTATTTTTGACCATGGCTACACTCACCGTAACGCGGCTTGCCGAATTATTCAGCGATACTAAAGAAGTTTCACTTCAGAAAAAAAAACGTTGATCTTACAACTACAGTAATGATTTGTTATTGTACTATACTACTTTCAAAAACTACCAAGTTTGAATTCTCGTTAAAACACTGACGATTTAAACATTATTCTATGAGTATATTATGAGAAAACGCAAATAAAATTGGAAAAAGTTTCACTAAATAATTTTATTTTATGTGGAAGAATGCATGGATTAGTAAATAAATAGTAAAACTTAATATTTTTACTGAAACAATGTGTTTACTTTTTTACAAAACGAACTCCATTACATATGGTATGTATTCATTTCTGGATTTGTAGCAGAAATAAAAAAAAAAGAATTTTGCAAAATTATTTGGTGAAGTTTTTTCCGATGCTTTATATGCATTTGTATTTTAATTTTATGTACTGTGACACAAAAACTGTTTTTTGATTTTAGTGTGAAAAAAAATTAAATCATCACTTACTCGGAATCAGTCGACGTTTCGGTTAAAATAACCGCTCTCCTATCGTCGGACTGGACCGAACTGTAGGTGTTTGTTGTGGACACAGACTCTTCTTCGTCGGAAAAGACTGTGTCATTCGGTTTGTTATTTGACGGCAGAGGAGGCGTCGAGGTAAATTCCTCATCAGAAAACAATGTTTCCTTTTGCAAGGATAAAAATTACATATAAAAACAAATTTTTAATTAAACATATCTTATAAACAGTAAGTTCAAACTGAAAAATATTCAAAACTAATGTAACTACATAAGTATATACAAACGATAGATTACTAAAGAATAATATGCAGATTTTAGTTTAAATGCCAATGGTATTATTGCATAATTCTAATCGGATTTTAAAGAAAATAGTTTTAAAATAGATATACTAGTAAAGATAACAACGAAAAAATAAAATATGGCTAACAGTAATTTAACAATTTGGAATTTTCCTTATAAGGATATAAATACATTTCTTTTCATGATTTTTTCCTTATACGGAAATGAAAATCTGCTTATTTTTCTTGGATAAAGAAAACTTGTCACTTAAAAACAACTAACCTCCAATTGGCAATTATCGTCATAAACTATAGTTTCTAGCATTGTGCTATCTTCATCATTGTTGTCGTTTGATCTTCTACTCCTTAGTTTTTTTCTTTTTACTGATTTGCTCATATTCAATTCGGACATACGCGACGTAGTACTGTCCACTGTATTTGAACTGACGTCCGATATTTTCTCTAATGAGGAAAAAGCGCGAATAAATTAGTAAAATAAGGTTTGTTAATTAACTATTATGATTATAATTTAACAAGATTGCTACTTGTTACCATAATTAATTAGGTTATAGAATTTTTAGCTCTACTTACCAGAACTTGGTGTTCGATTATTTGAATTACTATTTTCACTTTCTTCCGTCATTTTACGAGTTAATGAAGCATTCCTTCTCGTCATATATTGATTGTTGATCCTTCCATACTTTTCTTCTTTCTTTTCTGAAATTTCTTTTCCATTACCCGTACTGGATTCTAAACGATGACTTTTTTCGTTTGCATTCTTTTTCTTTAAATGATAAGTTTTTGACTTTTTCGTCGCTGCTTCTACAACTTCATTGTCGTTCCCTTCATTGTGTAAAGCCTGAATGCTATTACAAATTTCATTGTCATTCGGAGTTTTCCTCTTTGACTGTTCAGGTTCCTGTGTTTCTAAATTTTCTTCTATCCTTTGATTGTTTGATTTAGAGTGAAACTGAAAACGAACAGATTTTCGATTCGTTTTGTCATTTATGCTTTCAGTTTTTTCGCTCTCCGAAGCAGATTTCAAATTCTCGTTATTATCTTCGTCTTGTGACGAGAGTTCGACTTCTTCAGCAACAGAAGGTAGTATACATTCAGAGGGCATGGTAGTTTCAGTTCTATTATTAAAACTGTTTGTAGAATTTGTTAGATTGGTCAAAGAGGTCTTAAATTTCTTCAAATATCGGCTAGGTGCTTTATCCGGTATTTCCTATAATAAAAAAATAAATGTACAATATACTAGAATATAGGAGAATTATTTAATAAATGTAATTAAAAAATGCATAAACAAGACAATAAAAACCGTACACAATGAAAGAATACCTTAAGCAGATGATCGACTTGCTGAAGAAGTTCCTGGATAACAACAGGGTCCTCCAAAGTGGGTTCCAAACACAACAACATTTTTGTGTAAAAAGGAACAGCGGAATCTTGTGGACGAGTCTGAATCTTATGACATAAGGTTCGTGCTAACTTCAGATGCTGATTGACGATACACTTCACAATAAAAAAGACAAAATAATTTTTCCTAATATGAGAATTATTAATGTTGTTAGACTGAAGTGTTTGTTTATGTTATTCCACAATTTTTTAAAATATAAAAAGAATTAAGTACCGTAGATTTTCTAATGCCAATTAATGCAGATAAATAACGTAGGGTGTTATCTATATCTATGTCTACCAGAGGACTGGTGCAAGGTGCGTTGGCTATGCTTGAGAGAATCGGTATAACAGCTCCTTCAAAGATCTCCTCGCTACCTCTTACTTTTTGAGCGTAACGTATCAAAGAAAACCCAATCAACTGTTGAAGTTTCAAATCGGTTTTTTCTAAAAGATTATTTAGAACATATCAACTAACTAAATAACAAATAATAATTTTAAAGAATATAACATCATTTTTCTCTTTCCTCATTCTTTAAACCCACCTGTTACAGGACTAAACCATTTCAAACAAAGTCGAGCTATGATTGATGAAGAATTAATTATACCAATTCTTAAAAGGTTACACAATCCTTGGCCAGCACAGTATCTAATGTCTTCTTGCTGTAATTAAACATCAACAAACAAGAACAATAAATAATATATTAATAGTAATAGTAGTAGTAACTATATTAAAAAAACAATTTTAAACACTTACGTCGTCGTCCAGCATATCCAAAAGACTTTCAATAAGTTCGTCAAGCGTAAGACATCGATTGACTAAGGAATCTAATTCTTCGGTGTCGTTGATAGTGTAAAGCCTTCTAGATTTGTTCGCAAGCCGCCTAACGGAAATATTACTGGCAGTAAGATCACCATTTGTACATTCAAATGAGCTGTTACGTTTGAAAAGTTTTGCCCCATAAAGTAATGCCAAGTCAGATAAGACTCTTATGGACGTGAGAACCACTTTTTTTCCAAGCGTTGAAATCACTCGATAATGGATAAGCTGTGTATAAACAATCGTAATTAATTTAACTGTTAGTGAGGTTTTAAAGATGTTTGACAAACAAAATGGAAAAGAGAAATATTTTAATAATCACCTTTTCCAATGAGTTGGCTCAGTAAAATCATTGTGAAGCATTAAGAAAGATGTTTTCAATAATATTAGGTAAAAGCTACAGAAATACAAAATTTCATTGTGTGATAATTATGTAGCAAAGCCAATTGGTATTTTTAGTAACTTTTTAAACAGATTTTTATTAAAAAATACAAATAAATGGCCAATTTAGCACTCATTTTCGAATAAAAACACTATCACTACACTTTTTGGGGTGGTACGAGGGTGGATTGATAAGTTTCCGGCCTAACCAAGAGATGACGCCACTAGGCCTACCTTGAGGTGACATTCTATAGTACCATCCTTGGATAGCTTGTAGCTATAGTTTCAGCCCGATCTCCTTGCTAG